AGATAAACACAAACGTAATATAAATATTATATTATAAATATAAACGTATACTCCTCCTTGCTTTACACTGTAGACCAAATTACATATATCTGTTTAAACTGTGCAAGCAAGAGGAAATTGAAAATACAAAATACTCAACCAATAAAAGTAAGTCTGTTTTAAACTCTTATAAATCTTGTTTTATTGGACTCTATATAACCAGTGCATTACCTTAATAAGTGCTGTGGGCCCACACACACACACACACACACACACTCACACATGTCTGTATAACTGTGAAATTAAACAAAACCTCATTTCAGGCCGGGTGTGTTGAAGCCCAAAACATGCCAGGCCGGTTCACTAGTTTCACAAGCAACAAAAAACAAAACGTGCACATCTAAAGTTATTAGTAGTCATGACCTCTGAGAATGAGCAGGGGGATTTTGAGGGAATGGGATGATGGTCTCTGCCACCGCACAGCAGAAGCTCGCAAATGCTGGGAAAAAGACAAGAGTCTATCATATCACACTCCGGAAGGGGAAAACAGTCCTCTGTCTTGGTCCACAGGAACTTTCCCTTTTTACAGCCACAGTGTCCTCCTGAATCAAATAAAACGGCTAAGTAACAAGTCCATATGCTATTTCATGAAGAGTAACAATAACTGGTAGTAACTGCTTTAACTCAATTACACAGCTGACAGTATAACAACAGACATAAAGTCCATGAGCGGAAGGCTAACGGCATTCAGCACATGACTTGTTTTTCTTGCTACAGTAACATTCAGTCACCATACAAATAATCATGAACAAGCTTGAAATTACTTCTTGTAGATCACAAAAGTCCACCACTCAGGATAACTGGTCGTCAACCACAGGTTAGGAACAAATTGCTCTCATACAATATCTACTGTTTACATCAACTGTGTGAACACATTTCTCTTGCTCTCCGATGTCTGGGATCTGAGTCAGCTACCGTTAAGTCCCACCCCTTTACTTAGGAATGAACTTGGATTGGTTGTCAACAGTATACATTCCAATCAGGGTACAGAAAAACGATTGACATGTCAACTGCTCATCAACTTAGGTTGTCATACTTCTTACACGTGCTGTCTCCTGTACACATACAAACTATACACACTCAAATTAACTACAACATTCAACCTTTTTAACATTCTGAAACATTATTTAAATATTTTAACCCCTTACTGATTGTTGCAAATTCACATCACACCACCATAAGCTTTCATTGTTATGCAGATGATACTCAGTTATATCTATCGATCAAACCAGATGAAACTCATCAGTTAGCTAAACTTCAAATGTGCCTTCAGGATGTTAAAACCTGGATGACCTGTAATTTTCTAATGTTAAACTCAAATAAAACTGAAGTTATTGTTCTGGGGCCCAAGCACCTCCGTGACGCATCATCTAAAGATATAGTTTCCCTTGATGGCATCGCCCTGGCCTCCAGCACCTCTGTGAGGAATCTTGGAGTTATCTTTGATCAGGACATGTCGTTTAAGTCTCACATTAAGCAAATTTCAAGGACCGCCTTTTTTCACCTACGTAATATTGCGAAAATCAGGAACATCCTGTCTAAAAATGATGCAGAAAAACTAGTCCATGCATTTGTTACTTCTAGGCTGGATTACTGCAATTCCTTATTATCAGGCTGCTCGTCCGTTAACACTCTTCAGCTGATCCAGAATGCTGCAGCACGTGTTCTGATAGGAACCAGGAAAAGAGATCATATTTCTCCTGTTTTAGCTTCTCTGCATTGGCTTCCAGTAAAATCCAGAATAGAATTTAAAATCATTCTTCTTACCTACAAAGCTCTTAATGGTCAGGCACCATCTTATCTTAAAGAGCTCATAGTACCTTACTATCCCACCAGAGCACTGCGCTCCCAGAATTCAGGGTTACTTGTGGTTCCTAGAGTCTCCAAAAGTAGACTAGGAGCCAGAGCATTCAGCTATCAAGCTCCTCTCCTGTGGAACCAGGTTCCAGTGTGGGTTCAGGAGGCAGACACCATCTCCACATTTAAGAGTAGGTTGAAGACTTTCCTCTTTGATAAAGCTTATAGTTAGGGCTGGCTCAGGTTAGTGCTGAACCATCCCTTAGCTATGCTGCTATAGGCCTAGACTGCCGGGGGATTTCCTATGATGCACTGAGCTCCTCTCTCCTCTACTTTCTCTCCCTCTGTATGCAACCTCATCCCATTATTGCATGTTACTAACACAACTTCTCCCCTTTCTGGTAGTCACCTTTACTGTCTGTAGCTCTGTGTGTATATTGTGTAGGCTGCCTCCCTCCCCTCTCTCTCTCCTTCCATCCCTCTCTTTTTATCTCTGTTCCTCTCCTGCCCTCTCTCTCTCTCTCTCTCTCTCGCTCTCTCTCCTTCACCCCAACCGGTGGAGGCAGATGGCCACCCACGCTGAGCCATGGTTCTGCTCGAGGTTTCTGCCTGTTAAAAGGAAGTTTTTCCTTGCTGTAAATAGCATCATAGAGTACGGTCTAGACCTACTCTTTTATGAAAAGCGCTGTGAGATAACTGTTGTTGTGATTTGGCACTATATAAATAAAATTGAATTGAATTGAATTGAACCTCTTCCTTTCAAACTGCAGATAGCGTATGTATTTCTGAGCTGTGGCTCAGGAGGTAGAGCGGGTTGGCTGTTAATCGGAAGGTCGGCGGTTCAATCCCTGGCTCCCCCTGGTTGCGTGTCGAAGTGTCTTTGTTGTTCACTGAAGACATTTGGGTTTAAGATCAAAAGATGAGTATGAGACAAGAGGAGAATTTCAGCTTTCATTTCGTCATATTCACATCTAGATGTGTTAAACAACTCAGGACATACCACCCTTTCTTTGAACCCACCCATTTTTCAAGTGAGCAAAACTATTGGAATATGTGACTGACAGATGTTTCCTGTTGCCCAGGTGTTGCCTTTTAGGTTGATTGTACAAACATTAAATAGCTCTGCATGACTAGTCTAAGTTTTCAACCTTGGTTCATACCTATAAAGACTGCATTTCCTGTGAAAGAGGATAAACCAACATGAAGACCAGACATCTGTCTATGGGAGAAAAGCAAGCCATTGTCAAGCTGAGAAAAGAAGGAAAATTGATCAGAGCCATTGGACAAACATTGGGCATAGCAAGCACAACAATTTGGAATGTCCTGAAAAAGAAAGAAACTACTAGTGTACTGAGCAACAGATGTCCAACAGGTCAGCCAATGGAAAACAGTAGTTGATGACAGAAATATGGTGAGAGCTCTGAAGAAAACCCCCAAAACGTCAATAAGTGACATCAGCAACGATCTCCACAGTGCAGGGGGTGAAGGTATCACAATCCACAGAAGAAGTCAGTGCTAAACTAACTGACAAACACATTGCATTCCCTGTGACTACTTTATGATAAAAGTCAACCCATATTTCGCAGTTAAATGCTTTTAGTGTGAAGCTACAGCAGGAGCAAATGTGGTGTTCCAATTGGCTCAAACAATGTTTTCCTGTCTCCTGAGATGCCTTCAAACTGCTCCCGTAACGACCGGTTTTGAAGGCAGTATAAATGGTGACTTAACGCTGCCTATTACCCATAAACCAGTGCGTCTGCAGCTGCGGCAGATTCCGAAAAATTGTCAAGGCAAACAAGCCGAATTTGTAGACAAATGTTTTTAAAAGTTTAGTAGTTTTCGCGGTTTGATTATTGAAAAGTTAAAGTAGTTAAGTTAGCTAGAACTAAAACACTGAACTTTCATATTAGCCCGTGACTGTAACCAACCAAGTTTGTTCAGTATGATTTCTGAGGTGTCTGTTAGCCATGTCTCTTCTGACAGCCAGAAGAGACGCAAGACAGTGTGCTGACATCACGCGTTGCCGTAAGGCCTGCCTTAAAAGGCTGTTCGAAACCAATGTAAACAGACATGCGTTCACTTGAAAGTGATGCCTTCTGAGGCACCTGTCTATTACGGTAGCGAGGCAGCAAGAAAACTGCCTCCCATTTCAAACACAGCGAAGGTGTAAAAGGTTATGCTAAAACATTCCTTCAAACTGCTGTATCTTGTACAGTATTGTGAACTTGTTTGTTCTTAAGACTGTAGATCCAAACCAGCCTCCAACTCATAGAGTTTCTTGTTGTATCAACCAATTTACACTTCTACCCATTTAGTTACAACCATAAAGACAGACCCCACTCCTCAGTAACACATCCAAAACAGAGCTCAGGGATAGTATTCTCTTTTCAGAAACAATGGGATGTTTGCAATAACTAACAATCACAATGATTCTGTGAAGAGAGTAATATCCTTAAACATATACTCTAACAATGTAAATCATGTTTGAGTTAAAAGGAAAAGGGTTATCCCATTGGTAAAGTATTTGTATTACATCACTGGTGAATGTAAATAGTTACTAATAAAAAGTGCTAATATTTTAATGACCTACGGTATAAGCCTAAAGATACAATCTGTAATTTTATGAGCAGCACATTTCCCTGCAGCTCAACTGAGGTCCCAGTCAAGTTGTAAATATATTTTTAAAAGAATGCCATTGCAAAAACAAATGCAACATTTAATTTAATTTTGAACCCCTATGAGCAAGCCCTAAAGCTGGCTAAATCAATGCTGACCATCTTGAGAAAAAGTGCAATTAAGCTTTATATCACACAATCATAATCTGATCAAAGAGCTTAAACCACAGGCCTGTTCTTCCACAGAAAAGAAAAAGGCTTTACTGTTTAGGAATGCACAACATGTCCTGATTGTGCCATGTCCCATGGCCTCTCCTGTAGCTGTAACTTCTTTAATTGATTTAAGAGAGCCTAAGAGCTCCCCAACCCCCTCCAACTTGCCGTCACACCCCTCACTTAAATACTTATGGATTAAACTTGATATTTGGCAACACATTAAATAAACCACAGCTAAGAAACAAGCAAGTACCACAGAGACATAATTTGAAAATTCTGGTCTGGATTCAGTCTTCAACAAGCAGTGTTAGTAATGAAAAGCAGAGCAGTTACCTCACACAAGCCTCTTAGTGTCCCTCGGAGCTGCTGCTGAGTAGACTCCAGAAGTCCAAATATTCCACCTAACTGTCTCTGCTGTGATTTCTCTCTGGGTTAGTTCACACTGTTGAACTGAAAGCAATATCTGCTTTTTTTCCTTCTCTGCTCTGTGCAACCTCTTGGCTCTCTCTCTCCTCTAATTCCCTCCCTCTTTCAGCCTCTTTTAATACATTCCTTGACCCCTCCCTCTCTCTCTCTCTCTGTCCCTCGCTCTACTTTCATGCAATCCTCTACCAATGTCTCTCCATGTCATTCACTCTATAGGCTTTTCTCTAAAATTCAATTGTGCTTAGTTAATAATGCTTAATTATGTATTGTATTACCAAAAGCAGACTGTACTATTTTTAAATGTTTTCATAGTTTTCTTTAGAAATACTTATCTGCTTTCTTTTTGAGGGTGAGATGAAAAGATTGGTCAGTCTCATGTCTGTGTTAATTCTTCATTCACACTATGTCAGCAGAATGGAAAGAATTGTAAAACCTCCCATTATTCCAATATGGCAGTGAACATGCATTACAAGAAGATGTTTACCCCCACTGCTAGCCTTGGAGTCACACCATTAAAATAGCGTAAAATAGGTACTTGTTTTTGTTACATATTTGGTGCGCTTTGTTAAGAAGTGAAACCAGATACAAAATGTGTAGATCCTTTTAGCTGAATTGATTCAATTGTGACTGTTGGATTTTATTTAGATGTAGTGAGAGCACTGTGGTATCTGGTGTTACTGTGCAGCAATGGCTCAATTTGGAGTCCGTAGAAAAGTTTATCAGGGTTTTGTTTTTTAAATAAATTTTATTTCTTGTAAATAAGTTTTAAAAGGTTTAATGTTAAAATGTTTCTAAATGTTTGTACAAAATTATTGTAAATACAAAATGTATAAATATCACATTGCTTTGCTTTAACATCTACACATATCTACAATAACTGAATTCTAAAATTCATATTCACTGAATTGCTTGTATTCAATATCAGACTGTTTTCATATTTTACACTTTTCTATTCCTGTTCTATTTCAACTATTACAGTTTCTAAGAACCTCTGGTAACATCACATCCATTTTCAAATCAAATTGTTTAGGGAAAGTCAGTTACACATTTTTAAGAGCCATTCTCATTGGAGAATGAATCTGCATATAACTTTGGACAAGACATGCCAAAAGTAATGATTCATTTGACTCTTTATTTAAATAAATATTTACAATATAAATGAAATACAACCATCTTAATCTAAAGCAGTGCCACAAACCAAACATAAATAACAGGTTAAATTGCTTCAATTCATAAATAAAATCACAATAACTTAACAAACCTAGAGAGTCTTGGCCGGGGAAATACCTTCAGAATATACTGTGTTGGACCTTCTGCTCTGGACTGGGAAACATTTGCAAATAATAATCGAAATCAGTCCATCACTGTGAGGCTAACTAGTGCACTGTATAAATGCATTGTCATGAGGCTGAACTAAAATCAATGAACAAAAGGCGTGCATAGGCCTTGGGATCCTCCAGATGCACTCCTCCCCTGCCTATAAGGAAACTGGAGTGGATCTAGTTCAGGATTAACTACAGATTTCAGTGCAGATACCATTTATATTTTAAAGCATTTTATGAACAGAAGTTAAAGCCACCGGCATCTATAATCATTGTTTTCTGTAGGACAGGGTTTCTTTGGAATGGGAATAATAGTAGATTTTTTCCAGAGGGCAGGAACCAGATGGGAATCTGCTGCAGAGCTAACCCCAGCGTGGTGCCCTGTGTCTCAGAGGTCTGCAAAGGTCTTTAGGAGAAAAGCAGAGATGACATCAGGTCCTGCAGATTTCTTTTTGCATGCATAGCTTAAATGTGTCTGTATTTTGAGTCCATAGACGCAAAATTATGTTCTATGTTTCCTTCTTGCCTCCCTTAATGACAAATTAAGCTCCCTTTGAACTGATTTCAACCCCAACAAATGTATGGCTTATTGTTAGGATAGATTGTAATAAGCTTCTTGGTGGCCACACAATCCTCACAGAATTTAATACTCTGTAATAGTGTCAGTGGCTTCATCGATACCCAAACCATGAAAAATGTCCCAGTCTGTACAAAGAAATGAGCCCTTCAGTGTCTCTATACTGTCTTTAGACCATACAGTCACCGTCTTAGTTAATGGTTTACTGCTCTTTAAAAACAGTTTTATAGGTGGGTCTCAGATGGACTGTATTATGGTCTGAGTTTGACAAAGGGGGCTTTGGACTGGCCCTGTGCCACACTTGACATATTGCTCATATCCAGGAAGGGACAGTTCCAGTTTACAGAGGTTAAAAAATCCAAGAATAAAGACCGGGGTCCCGGACTGCGTTGCAGTTGATTGTGGACACAGTCTGCAACACAAGCTGCAGCTCGGCACAGCAGTTCTATATCTAAACTAAACACAATCTCTCTCGCAGAATAGTTCCTGCACCAGTAGTCACTCACAAAAATGCAGATACCTCCCCCTTGACTATTTCCTGAAGTTTCATCCCTCTCTGCACGGACAAGGGAGAAACTCTCCAGCTCGATCAGGGAGTTGGGGATGTCTTCGTGGAGCCAAGTCTCAGTGAATACCAGCAAGCCTGCCTCGCGGTATTCAAAACATGGTGTTCCCTGTTTCTCCAACGTACTGCATGTTACACTGCCTACATCTAATCAAATAAACACAATTCTTGGAATGAACACTGCCATGCCTATGTGTGGTAAAAACATTCTTGTCGTGGGGATTCAGCACCCAGGGGTGGTGCCTAAAAAATTCTCCGTGCCCGATGGGTCTAGAGTCAGTGGGTGGTGCCAGCTTGGCCCTAACTAAAGTGTCCAGCAGGTTTTTGTTTTTTCTGTAGGCAGCAATGAGCCTATGGTTCTGTAACAGCTGAGTACTGAATGTGAAATGGTGGAAATTATCTTTAAGTGTCCTAACCAGCTGTACTGCTGCGGGGGAATAGGTGGTGATAACAGGAAGGAGAGAATCAGTGGTGAGCAATTTGGGGTGCTGAAAGGTTCTCAAGGCTCTGCGTAGGAAGGACCTACAGTACCCTCTGCTGGACAGAGCCGAGAACAGCACCTTCGTGGCCACTTTAAAATCCTCTGCTCTTGTACAAATCCTGTGAAATCTCAAGAGCTGTGACTTTATCAGACCTGCGAATGTGTGTTTGGGATGAAAACTGGATTTATGTAGTAGGGCATGTGTGTCTGTTTCTTTAAAGAACACCTTGAGATCAAGTCTGAGAGTCGAATCAAAATCTGGGCCCTTAAAAGTGGTGGTGTCAAGGAAGTCCACAGCAGTCTGGCTAATAAAGTATTTCAGTTTGATGGATGGATTGTGGTTGTTCAGGGAGATCACAAAGACAACAAAATCCTCTCTCGAATAGGGCCAGATTCCCCAAATATCATCCAGGTATCTATAATAATAAAGGGGTCTTTTGGGACAGGAGTTGAGTGCAGCTGTTTCCCATTCTGCCATGAAAATATTGGCGTAAGCAGGTGCGAATTTCTTACCCATGGCTGTTCCCTTAATTTGGAGGAAGAATCGTCCGTTGAACTCAAAATCGTTTTTGGTCAGATTTATTTCCAGGAGCTGCAACAACTCTCTGTCCGGTCTTTTAGTGTCTGGGTATTGTAGGAATATGTTTTTAATGGCTTGAATGCCTTCTGAAATTACAATATTTGTATATAAACTATCAATATCCATGGTAAATAAAAAATGCATTAGGGGGTACATGGATCTGCTTGATTAGGGTTAGGGGAAGGGGAAAAGAGCTGGCTAACGTCTTACAAAGCTCTGCGCTAGCCAGTCTGGTGCACTGTCCTGTGATGCGCCTCCAGAGACCCCAGAAAGGCAAAAACACTCACTCCTTGTTTGAGGTTTTAAGCATTTCCCACATTTCCCATAATAAATGACAAAAGTGCATTACCTTTGCATGTGTTCAAAAAATTGGACTTCACGAATCCTGTAATTTCTGCATCCTACTTGGATGTCTTAGGATGAATTTTCCTATCTTCCTGTCCTATTAATCCAGGCCTACTTGGTCCTGCTTCACTCTGCCTTGTGGCAACGTTTTGGAGAACTATTTGTCCTTCATCAGGCTTTGCAGGGCAGGATCAGTGCAGTGAGCTGGGACCAGCCATGCTCAATAAAATGTTTGACCAGTGGGATGTGTGTGTGTCTTTCTTCCTCCCAATGTTGTATCTATGTTGTGTGAACCTGGTCAAAAGGGTGTTCCCCGTCTCCCCCACATACTGTATGTTACACTGTCTGCATCTAATTAAATAAACACAATTTTTGGAATGAGCAGTGCCATGCCTATGTGTGGGGAAAACATTGTGGTTGTGTGGGTTCAGCACCCAGGGGTGGTGCCTAAAAAATTCTCCGTGTCCTATGGATCTAGAGTGAGTAGTTGCTGCCAGCTTGGCCTTGACTAAAGTGTCTTGCAGATTTTTGTTTTTCCTGTATGCAACGATGAGTCTATGGTTCTGTAACAGCTGGGTGGTGGATGTCAAATAGTGGAAATTGTTTTTGAGTGCCCTAATAAGCTTTACTGCTGCTGGGGAATAGGTAGTGATAACAGGGAGGAGAGAGTCAGTATTGACAACTTTAGGGTGCTGAAAGGTTTTCAAAGCTCTGCGTAAGAAGGACCTACAGTACCCTCTGTTGGCCAGAGCTGAGAACAGCACTTTTGTGGCTCCTTTGAAATCCTCTACTCTAGTACAAATTCTATGGAATCTCAGAAGTTGTGACTTTATTAATCCTGCGAATGTGTGTTTTGGATGGAAACTGGATTTGTGTAGCAAGGCATGTGTGTGTGTTTCTTTGAAGAAAACCTTGAGATCGAGCCTGAGGGTGGACACAAAATCTGGGCCCTTGAAGGTGGTTGTGTCAAGGAAATCCATAGCAGTCTAGCTAATACAAAATTTGAGTGAAATGGATGTATTGTGATTGTTCAAGGTGGTCACAAAACTATCAAAATCCTCTCTCGAGTAGGGCCAGATTCCCCAAATATCATCCAGATATCTATAATAATAAAGTGGCTTTTTGGGACAGGAGTTGAGTGCAGCTGTTTCCCACTCTGCCAT